CAAACTGCTGGTAGTGGTCTTTAGGCAACATATCAACCTCCCCTTAGCTGATCCTGCTGTACTGATATCTTGGGTGGCGAAAACGACTTGCCGTCCTCATTCACCAGTCTTATCTGCAACTGTAGTAGTTGATATATCCAAGAACTCTCATATTCGGTATCATGTCAACCCATCCCTTCAACTGTATTGCCCCTGACATCTTCTCCATGGGGAAACAAGTCATCCCTAGCGATGCTTTCTTCATCCTGGTTTGGAAAATGCATCTGTACTGACATCGTGGTTCTCTGTAGTAGTGGTTCCTGTGCATACATCGCGTTTTCGGTAATATGACTTGTTGGTACGGTGTTTCACGATCAAAAGAAACATGTCATCGATTAAAGTTGATCATTGTCAGCTTTCAAGGTCACCCTGCTCCAGGGATTCAGTGTTCTCGACATCGTTATCATCATTTGAGGCCAGTCAGGCTATCTGGTGACTGAAAATATTTCAGTTGCTTCATCGACCAAATCTTGTTGTTATCATTCATGATGTTTAATCTGGAGCTACGTGACAAGACTGTAGAAGAGCCGTCCTGTGCTCAGGGCGCTGGTTCGTTATTTGCCTCTTGTGAATCTGCATTTAATGACCAAATCCTCATTTCAAGGCACAAATGTTGGATCTATGATGAAATAATGTTGGCTGCCATCATGCTTTTCGTGAACCATTATGATGTTTGAACGGAATGAATATTATTGGTGGAGCATTTTGAATGTGTGAGTGAAGTGTGATGCTACACTTTTGCCAATATTATTTGGGGACATAGAAATGGTCTTCACGTATTGTACCCATAGTAATGAACATTTAATGATGTCTGATTAGGGAACTTTACTAGTTTAAACAGTTCCTAGGAAGGAAAATACCAACATTACGAATCCACCTGGGTTTATTGTAAGACACTATTACTTTGCCCTCCCTAGAAGTTTAACTGCCTAGATTTTACTTCCATAGAACACATTGTATTACAAATTGTCTGGTCAGACTGGATTATTGAACCAAACCACCGCCTTTAACTAGATAATAATGCTGGGTGCGGCATAAAGTCACTCATTCATTCATTGTATACAAAACAGTTGGGAATGCTGATACTGACTGGTTCATATTGGTGATAAAATCCTTCTATTTACACCTCGTCGTGATATTTACGGGAAAATCATGATGATACAAAGTAATGATGAGCACTATTCGCGTTATCATACCAGGAAAGTTTATTTACATATCAATGTTAACAAAATCCGGCGATGTTATTATTGTCCACACTTGGTGGTTTATTAGCTGTCGTGCGTTATGCCTGAATAGCGGCTGATATGTACATGTAGCAACCTTCGTTGTTATGGGGGGTACAGGGTTGCGAATCAGGACTATTATTATTTTAACTGTGTGAATTATGTGGTTTCCTGATTGAGTGTGGACATGTTGTGATGTTTCCTGGAAAACCAGCATGTCTGCGGTGTTGTACATGTTACGTTTTGTTTTGGACCCGACACAAAGAGATCAGATGGTTACTGCCTGCTTCACCCATGGTGCACGAACCCTTGCCATCGGGGACCGTGTAATTTGGATCTTGTTTTCTAGGTTCAAAAAACTCTGTGTATGACCAGCCACGTTTCAGCATGGCTCACTTCTTGAATGACAAATAACCAATTTTTGAAGTCTTATGATTAACCACGCTGGTCGTTGGCTGCGGGTCAGCATTAAGATGAAGAAGACCAATAACTAGGTCATCCTCAACGAAAGTAACCGCATGTTTCCATGTCCACAAGCTAACAAGGACTTGTCCACATGTGCTTAATTTTAATAGGACATGTTTGAGAGTGGCGCTGTGAGGCGGGCTATCTGTTCTTAAAACGGTTCATTTAGTTGAGTTAGTAACTATAACGTATGGATGGTGGAAAGGATGAGTCATGAGTAGTGAAGCGGATAAACTAAATGCATTCGCATTTTATCAAGCATGTGACTGATCAGGTAATAAATGAAAACTTTAATAAAGGAAGGTAAGAACTAATTAGGATCTCTGAATTACTGTCAAGCATATGTGTAATATGAAACATATTTTCTACCGTTTACAGCAATAGTGCACAAAAACGTTTAGAATATAGAACTTTAGCTATAGCACATATTCGCTAACAGCCTTTTGTAAGAACGTTGATTGATTTCAACGTGGCTATACGGTACATAATGATTTATGTTACTATATATCTACGACTGATGTACTAAGTTCTAGGTGTTAACATATGGATCATCTCCACTCGGTAGAGCTAGCATAGAAAGGCCCTTCACTGCTGGTTATGTGGACGTAGTTATGTTCGTCACCAGAGTCGCTTGTATTGCGTGTTGTATTCATAGTAAACATTTGTTTCACCATGTCCAACGCAGGCGTTCCTGTTTTCGGTGTGAAGTGTTATTTTTCTTCCTGAATGGCTTCACCAGCATGCTGCAGTGACAACATTGATGATATACACAATTGATAATATATTATGTTCAACAGCAGGAAAGTAAAAGCATGCACCATATTGGTGTCTAATAACTGCCGATTGGGCGACAAAGTAAGCAGCATTAACAAAGTTACCTATTGATATGTTACGTGCGCATTGTCAGGAGAGATGTAAGCTCAAGCTACATTCGCGGTCCGTTGGGGATGCTAGAAGTCAAAGGAGTGGTCGGACGACCGAGACTTCTAACTAACAATATTGCATTCATGTTCTGGCTCCATTCATAGAATAATTATATCAACCACCAGGGATATAATACTAAAGATTTACCAGTCCCTCTCTTCATTACAAGGTGACTCGGATTGGACAGAATAGGGCAAGCTCTTTACCAAACGATGGAACTACAACGATCGCGAAGCGAACGTTCTGCTGACTTTCGAACCTGCACCACTTTTTTAGTGCTTACGATATCTTTTCAAGTGTTAATTTCCAGCCTGAGCACATGTCACATGCATCTGATTCGTTTAAAGTTAATTCATTCCATGGTCTCGATAATTTGTTCTGTGATCGGAGAATTACTGTAAACCACCCGTCGGTGATTCCAGTTAACTAATAATAATTATGTTCTATATACGCTTGATTATTATTACCAGTTGTGATAAAGCATCGATTCTATCACGAAATAACGGCAATTCTCAATAATGGGTTGTCATACTTTTCTTGTTTAAAAGATACGTTTTATCCTTATAACAGTGGCACTGTGTTTGATATGTGTGTTATGATTAATATGAAGTACTTACAAATATATGACGAGGACTACATTGATGAGAGAACCAGACTACCACGACACACCACAGATAATGCTATTCTTGTCTATCCCAGATGTTGCCTGAAACAATAGGTTCAAAAATAAGTGCAGTTGATGAGGATGCCTAGCTTCTCATGTTTCAGTTCTTGCTCCTGTTTAAAAATTAACGATTTGGGAGAATCTTGGTTACGTACCATTGGATGTTGGCTTTCGATTATCCCTGCAAATAATATTGCTAACTGTTGCCTCAAGTTGCTCTTATTGCTATTTCTCTGACATTGTAATACTGTGGTGGGTTTCATCCTGTGTATCCCAAACAGTATAGATGTGATAAGCACAAAACGATCCGTTCAGAAATGTTTTGGACTTACTTCCATACAACATATTATATTTTCCAAAAAGTTAATCAACGTCATTGTTTTTCGATTTCTAAGTAGGGTTGGGTATTGCAGATAATTTTTCATGTTGCGATGAGTACAGCGATGCGAAAGATATATTGGTGATATGTATTGCAATATATTGCAAGAAATGTTTTGAAACACAAAACCACAAAAAAAGTTAAAACGCACACAACAAAATCACTATGCGGTTTGGAAAAGAACAACATAACATCAACATAGTCGTTACTAGTTTGAACTGGTTTCTCCGCTCTCAAAAACCCTGAAGATTAAAACATCTCACATCCAAAACATTGAAACATTTGAACAAACATTAAGAACACAACTTCAAACCGAACTTAACTATACTCCCAGTGTGAAAAACGGATATATTCGAAGATTTTGCCGAGGTGTTACGATGTTTTCCGAGATGCAGGTCTGAAATACCGGTTTTCGAGCAGCGTATTGCAATACGTATCGATTTCATGTCTGAATCAGTAAATATCGGTAATCCGGTTATATTGAGCAGCACTATTTATTAGTATAAAGAGATCAAGAAGTAATTTTTCAGCTGGGTTGCAAAGTGTACTACTGGGTTGCTTGATTGTGTTCACGCCTATAAGACAAAGACTGAATGTATTACAAACCATCTATTATTATATGGATATGTCGGAGCCAATTATGTCTACAACAGTGATTCAGTTGTGGTGGTTTGTATTAAAACCCTTTTGATCAGATGTAGTTCTCACTATATCGACATGAAACTACTAAACTGCCACAACAACGTTTGTGTAATTTCTAAGCTGGCCAGAGACGAATATAGTGTACATACCGTGAAGAAATGCGTGTTTTTGCGTATACTCACTTGTGTCTGTTGTTGAAACTGTTGTTGATACCATCGTTGATTTTGAAGTCCACTGTGTTGTTATATTCCCTGTCGAACGGGTAGGTTGTCCACTCGTAGAGGTAACGGTCGTAAAGGACGCTGCAATTTGAGAATGTTTTATCAGATGTAGTTCCAAGGAAGATAGATAAATGATGTATATGGGAGCTTCGTTTCTTTTCATTTACTATCATCTTTTCGCTTACATTTTTTAAATGTGTTAAATATAAGTGTGCATCCTTGCATGAAAAGATGTAGATGCATTATTTAAGGTACTTTAAATTCATTGATGTCGCTCAGTGAAAACATGCTCAAAGGGCGGTTAATGAACCATGCCCTTCAGAGATGTTCACACTCACACAGGCAAAAACACTACAAATGCATGTATGGGGGTAAATATCTCAGTAAGCAGCTGAAAACGTTTGAAGTATAACGAGGGCCATAAAACGCCAGAGTACACTCACCAATAGATGTATATTGTGCACGTGCCGTCGTTACAGTTGTTGTGTCCGAAGTACTTGGACCAGATGTACTCTGTGAACGTGGCGGCTGATGTGTTGACGTTGATGTGGTTGATGCATCCAGTATTTCTCCGCTGACCGTAATATTCATTTGACCTGAATCTATGAACAACTTATTGTTACAGCAGTCTCTAGGTCTGAGTTACTTGGTTACCTTTAAGAGATAAGATTTCTGCAAGTGGTGGGAAATCAGCAGAATGTAATTCAGTTAAGGAGGAATAGGACGCAAAATACATTACTGTGAATACAGTACGCTAAATATGATTTTGGCATCAGTGTATTAATTGATTGCTACCTGCAACACGTATCCATACGTTTGATCCATCCTGATCATGGTTATTGTAGACTATAACTATTTCGGCAGCTGGCACCGGTAATACCCTGTTGTATTGGTTCAGGTTCACGTTTGTCCAGAGTTGTCTCCCATCACCTGAGATGTTAAGCATCCCCGACCTCATCCGCTGTTCCACCAATGCTACTTGTAAAGTCTGCCCTGTGATCCTAACAACACAGCTGCTGTTCACACCGACACTGTCAGGGAAGCCGGGAGAATGGAGGTACACCGCCCCGTTTACTGTTGTTGTGACTGGACTACACATATCCATACTTCCTGAAACACAAGGCATATGACAAGTAAGATAAGGTTTATGTTGGGATTCAAATTTGAGACATGTCATGAGTCACATTGAGCGAATTGCTCACACACATGCTAGATTTTGCTTTGGCTTCATGTTGATCAAGGTTGATATGAAGTTAACTAGCAGGTCCAAGAACCAACACTCATAAATTACTGTCAATGTTACTAATATGTATTGTTACCAGGATAAGGATGCTCTGTCCTACTGGCAACACTAGATCAAAATATAGATTACTGTTGCCATGAAATTCAACGATAGTCGAAGTAAAAACCTTCTTTTTTTTAAATTAGCATACGAATTAGTAGTTGGCAGCATGCTGCGGTTGGTGTTTACAATATATGTTGCTGATGTTTTGTCAAGTTTGTTGCACTCAGCAATACTCAATATATACTAGGCACATAAAGAAACTGTGCACACAAAAATTTAAAATCTAAATTGATCAAACCTGTGTAGACACATTTAAACTCAGAGATTAGTGACATGTATCCAACATGCATGCACGTGCCACGTTCCGTGACGTCAGTGGGTTCGTCCTTGAGACGTGAAATACGTTGTTGCACGTGCATTCCGGGAAAGAGAAACAGAGCAAATGAATGCCACACAATACTGTCACTTTGGAAAGCTCAACCCCTGCCCTTGCGATCGTTCAAAAAATTAATCGGCTATTGAAACGCATAGCATGCCAAGGCTCACGTCTGCACAACGCCATGAGGCCATTGGGATGGTCCGTGGGGGAATGTCTCAACGACAAGTGGCTGCACATTTCTGGACGTCTACGTGTAACAACGCCATATGGATAAGGGTGACCCATCTTCGCCACAGGTTTCAGACTGCAGTGATGACTGCCCGAACCATGCCAGGACTTCGCCATATCCACCCCAACACAGTTCGACAACGTTTACGTCATCACGGGATCAGACCACGACGTCCCGCCATACGGCCTATCCTGACACAACGTCATCGACAAGCTCGCTCGAAATCATGTCCGCAGACCCTTGTTTTGGTGGAGAAATTTTGTTTTTGCAGATAACATTTCCCATAGTGATGGAGGTCAACGTGCCTATAGACGCGTGGGAGGACGTTATGCACAGGCCTGTGTCTTGGAAAGGAATCGCTTTGGTGGTGGTTCCGTGATGATTTGGGGTGGAATAACAGCACGCCAAAGAATTCCTTTGGTGATTGTTCAGGGCAACTTAACTGGTGTGGGCTACAGGGATCAGATTCTTCGACCTGTGGCAATTCCTTTTCTGCAACGTCATGGCCCTGGGTTAACATTCCAACAGGACAATGCCCGCCCTCATACGGCAAGGGTTGCTATGGATTTCTTGCAACACCTCAACGTTGACCTACTGCCTTGGCCTGCAAATTCACCGGATCTCTCCCCGATAGAGCATGTTTGGGACGAGATGGATCGACGTCTCACGCCGTCTTCCTCATCCGCCAGATAACGTCCTTTGACCTTGCAACAGAACTGGAGAGAATCTTGGGACATCCCACAAGCCTTCCTTGCACATTTGATAGTCTCTATGCGTCGTCGATGCACTGCTGTTCTCAATGCCGATGGAGGACATACCCGTTATTGAGCTTGTGACATGGTCGTTTGACCCCTGTCCCGCTTGTGGACTCGTGACCTCATTGTGATTGACTTTTCAATGAAATTCTCTCGACTTGTTATGGTCTCATGATCCCTCCATTAAAGTTTATATGTACCTTTGACATTGTTATCGTACTTATCAACTGGGATAATATTTTGACAATGCACAGTTTCTTTATGTGGCTAGTATAAATAGCGGCGGTCTGAAAATAATCTGAACCAGACAAGCCAGTGATAAACAGCATGAACAGCGATCTACGCAGTTCGGATACGATGACATATGTCAGTCAGGTCAGTAAGCCTGACCACTCGATCCCGTTAGTCGGTTCCTTCGACAACGTAACACTTGATATAATTGGGATTACACTTTCACAGTAAAGTACAGATTCTAGTACTTTTGTTTGGTTGAGTCGCATTCCAGATTCGAACACACACTCTCAGAGTCAAGCACTTAATCGCCAGCACAAACTCAACCCACTCAGCTACCACGGTTTCCCTCAAAAATGGAAGTCGGAAAACTTGTAGTATAGAGCACGGACTTTGTGTACCCCTCTCACAAGTGTAAATTGGCACGGCTCCATCGGTCGACAGCTGTGAATACACAATGCCATTTAGAAAGTGGTCAAATGGTACACATGTACTAGAATCTGTACTTTATTAGAAAGTGCAATCCCAATATATAACATGTCGTACTTTTGATGACTTTGTAAATGGTATTGTGTATTCGTTATTACGACAAGCATGGTTGCTTATAGAGCAGTGTCTTTTGGTGTTGAAACACGTCTACCGGAGGAATAGCTAAATGTATCATTGGAAAGTTCAGGATCTCTTGTTGAAAGTTTCCGGCAACATGTCATTTAGGGTTGTTTCCATGGTATCCATGCAATTTTAGAAAGACCGCTTCTGCTATATATATATGACTAATCATCACAATTTACCTATATTTAGTCGATGCTCTGAATGTTTCTGATACCACCAGCATTGCGTCTTCGATACATGTAACACGTATGTATCGAAACACAGCCTTGTCTGAAAACAAGGGCACATCGAAGATTGCACTTGATAGGGGGAAGAAATGTCATCATTCTTAAGTTGAGTCTTACTAACAGTCATGTCATGCCCCGTCAACGACCAAAGTTGTCTTTGATACAGTAGTTCTTCACTTCAGCACTGAGCAGCACCGGTGATACTACAGTTGCTATCCGGCTGTGCATCCAGCATCTACATATTCGTTTATGACGTTCACGGTAAATATTTACAATAATATCTCTATAATGGACTCAGTGGCTGATATTAAAGAAATCAGAGTTTATACGTAGATCTCCTACAGGTTTCTCCAATGATCACCTTTGATACAGGTATACCATATTGAAGTCTCACCTTTGATGCAGTTGTACTTTACTTCAGCAGCAGCATCGGTAATATTACAGTTGTTAATGGACGCTGCCGGCATGACTTCAAGACATGACTGTTTCCCATTACAGATGACAACCAGGCCAGACTGGCTGCTGGCGAGTTTCTTACTACACGACACAGCAGATTTGAGACGACATGACGCTGCGTCTCCATCCCCATACGCCTCGTGCAAGACATGTATCAATTCACCGGCAGGACACTGAAGCTGCACTGTAAAGGCTTTCGTCAAATCCTCGATACATCTGTTTCCAGTCCTGACACCTTTGAATATATTGAAACTCGTTCAGTCAAACATACTTGACAAAATATAATTGAATATATTGTTCCAATTGACAGTAAAACCCTATTTGTTTTGAAAGAAACGAGACCTTTCTAAGCAAAGATGTAGCGTCATCTTTAAAACATGAAATTCTATGTGACTCAAATAAGCCATTATATGTAGCATCATAATGTTTTAATATAGTGTATGAAACGGTTCATGTACAGTATCCTTCAATTCACAAAACTAGTGCGTATATATGCTGATAGGTAAACAATACTTAAACGCTGCAGAAATGTGTAATGTTGTCTTAAATGTGATCAACTATCATTGTGTATTTGTACACAGTCTGAGTCTAAGTCTGATTTGGACTTTGTTGTAAGAGGTGTCTCAAAGGTATGTATCATACCACAGTTAATGTTTAAGATGGCTTGTGAGCTTTAAAATCCAGTGGCATGAAAGGCTTTTGACATTTGCACGTCAGTCACAACAAATCACACGTACACAATGCGATATAAAATCATACGGCAACCGGAATTATGATGAAATAATCACATTACACCTACTGAAATACAGAATCCAAAGACATGTTTGTCTGTACCATTACTCACCATATACAGCCAAGAAGAAATGTAGACAGATCACAAACGCCCTTTCAACATGCATGGCTGTTAGATCTCAGTCATCAGAAGTTCAATGCGTGCTTTCTGTACGTCCATGGATACAGAACATGTCGTCTCTGTTCAGGCATGCCGTTAAACTGTTGGATTCGTATTCAATATGTAGGAACTTGCCTCGTTCAAATTCACGCACATCCGCCATCGAACGCACAGGAAAAGTAAACAACATTCGTCAGTTCATGACTAGACTGCTTGTATATAATCACGCTGTCAGGTCGTCTTCGTCTATGTTCGTACCCGCGAATCCATCAGGTACTCCAAAACATAAACCTACAGTCGTATCTATATCACATAGGCAAACAGTAGACTCTATGTAAGTGAATGTGTCAAATAGTCTGAACAAACCCAAAGAAGTTACTGTTATAACCAGCACGATGAAATGACGAACCAACTAACGTCAACAGGTCGCTAGGTGTTACTGATAGTTAAATGTAAGAGTAAACGTCCCTCGAGGACGACCAGGTCTCAGGTATGAACAGGGAAGTAAAATGAGTGTGTTGTGATTATACATATAGAGCATGCTGTGAGTTGCGCCTGTCTATTTTGCCCCAACACACAACGTCACAATCGATTAGGTTTGTTTACTTCGTGATTCAACTAGTTTTTCGTTTGGATTTGGACAGTAGTGGGGTTGTTGGTGGTGATGGGGCGTGATCTGCTTACGGCAGTGAAGTAGGTTTTCTCTAATCATAAGTGTATTTCTGTATTTCAAGTTATGCAGACAATCTTCCAACTGCAATTGAAGCTTTGTTAAAAGAGAGAATTACCTTCCTTCAAGTGTATCATAAATACCACTCGATCATGCAATTGAATTATGCGGACATTGGCCAAAGGGAAAGCTGGCAGTCTATTTAAGAAGGGGATATAGAGAAACAATAGTAGTGTTGCATCAAACACCCGTAACTTTGTTAGCTTATGAAATAAAAAAAGTAAGAAACAAAAGAAGTAAGGTTTCTAAGATAAAATGTCATGGTTAGAATGAGAGATATGGTTTCGAGAACAGACAAGCGGTGTGTCTACTTCTATTGTAGTTTTCAGAAATTGCAGATTTGCCGTTGTCAGTCTATATTAAAGACTCAGCCACTTGTTTTGTGTTATTTTATTTTGTCTGTACCACTCACACACATCAAGAGCTGTATTTACACTGTTTATCAAGCGGTTTACGCCTATAATGAAGACATCATATTATATTTGGATAATTTTTTTTTTTTTTTTTATAATAAAGGCAGTAATACATGAGTTGCATGTCAGTAAAGTAATCGATTAGGTTTCTGTTCGCACTTGGACTATAAATAAATATAGACATGAGCTATACAGAACATCAACGTTTTCATGTGAAATATGCTCGATCGAAGACGTTTACACTTGAAATACTGATTAAGATTATAATTCGTAGAGTTTAGAAAGGCATCTTTACTAACAGATCTTCCACTTTCAATGCAATACTTGCACAGTCGTTCAGTGTATGGGATAGTCGGAATTTAGGGAGTTTCGCAGTCGTAAAAATGTGAATTTGAACTTACTGGCCACTGCATGCTTACCACTGCCAGCACTGTAAACAGTATGTACAGTAGATAATCGCGCATTGCTGACGCCGCATTACCAGTTCATACATAAATGCAAAGTTAACTGTGAATGAAAATAAGAATATCACAAGTGTGTGATAAGCAGAATCAATAAGCCTGGCAATTGAATATCTTTTGAGGTTAATCTACCTTCCTGGAATATCTCAAAGTCAGGATTGACACCCTACACATGTGTGTTGCGCTACCTGACACATGTATAAACGATAAGATGTGTTTTGGTGTTATGTTTTAAAACCCAAAAACGATCTTGCATGAGATGACTGTCGTCAACACTTATCTCAGTTCTAATACTTCGTATTTACATTAAGAGTTTACGACCACACTCATTTCGCACATACACACTGATAAGTTCTCTCAACCTAGGATGGATTCTCCTTACCTAGAAATTTATCAGCTCCTTGTCACCAAGCCTAAACCTCATTGAATATAATAAAGGCGGCTCGTTCATTTTCTTACAAACATGATGGCATCATATTTTTAAAGTATCTCCTTCACATCCTCGGAACACCAGAATCTAATAAGCCTTTCGGAAGCATTTGTTAGGAACATTGAAACGGTTCTGTTGAGCTTAAGTAAGTATATTGAGTTTAATATTTTGATGAAGCAGCAAGAGGTTGCCTTGAAATAGTAATCAAAGTGAAAAAAAAAATCATTTTTTCATCCATGGCCTATATTCATGACAACTGCATGTTTAATTTGTTCAAGTCCCTTCTCAGAAAGTGGCCACAGTGCGGAGAGTTTCTGGCCTTTAGTGAGTCCGGAATTAAATTGTGACGTGTTGCATTAATTTCATGATGGCATCGTATTGTAACTTCTAAATACTTACCAACGACTTGCCTAACATGATATCTTTCAATAACTACCGCCACTGTGTATAGAAGGCGCCTCGTGATATAAATTTGAACGGTCTTCATTTCGATATTAAATAACTTAAATGAACGGCATATTTTTCTTCTCATTTCATCCTTATATCTATCCTTAAAAGACATTTAACATCATCATGTATTTATACAAAAGGAAAACAGCAACTATCAACTTCAATATATTATAGGTCTTCAGGGAAAACAGTGGGCAGGCATGACCCAGTCGTCTGTGCGGAGTTTCGTCCCCTGAGCGCACCAGAAACCAAGGATCATTGATTGAATTCCGGTTTGTCACGATTAGGTTGGTTCAAAAAACGCCCAAATGGTAAACACCTTAGACCTGCTTCACTTCAAAGGGGCGTCAAACCAGACCAACCGACTCTGTTACCTCTGTCACAAGTAAATAATTAATGAATCTGCGGTAATATCGACAAGTTTCATTTGATACATATTATATCCGATATGGGTTGATCAAGGAAAACGGAAATCGAAATCAATAATTAATATATATGATTCAATGACGTTCTTATAAATCAGTAACAGTTTACGGGATAGTTAGACTGTGGTTATGCGAGATAATGCTTCACTATTTGAGCGAAGAAAGACATGCCAGTGTAAATATGAACAGTGTTTAGTTCTCCACGTTCCTGTAAGAAATGGATACTTACAGTTTTACATTTTGGGCTTGTGTGCTGCTTTACATGCGATGTTTACACATTTCTTCAGGTAAGCCGATCTATATTGCTCTAAGTATCCCCCCAACAATGACGGCTTTCGAATCTGTTATATATAACTCACATTCTTTTAATCAAACGCTGAACGTGTAAAACATTCCAGAACAAGAGCCAGGGGAGATCAAAGCTGTTTGTCTCGTAACTATTTCCAGTGTTCCTGTTACGCTTTCTTCGGTATTTGTTACATATGTTATATTTGGAATTACACTTTCTTACTAAAGTACAAATTCTAGTACTTTGGGGGGTTGAGTCACATCCGGGATTCGAACCCACATCCTCAGAGTCAGGCACCTAATCGCCAGCACACAAAGTCAGCCGCCTAACCCGCTCAGCTCAGTGTAAATCTAACATGTTACATTTAACCACTTTCTAAATGGCATTGTGTACATGTAATCATAGCTTTCGGTCGTGGGAGCCGTGCCAACTTACACTTATCAGAGGGGTACACGTGGTCCGCAGTCTAGACTACCAGTTGTCAGACATCCATTTTGGGGGAGGTCGCGGTAGCTGAGCAGGTTAGGCGGCTGACTTTGTGTGCTGACGATTTGGTGCCTGACTCTGAGGATATGGGTTCGAATCCCGGATGGCACTTCAAGCACGCCAACTTAGTGACTGATATTATGAAAACAGCATGAGCATCGATCTACGCAACTGGGATTCGATGACGTGTGTCAACCAAGACACGCAATCAACTAAGTTTCACCAAACCTGCCCGATTCATATTTTGCCGCTTAAGAGGCACAGGTTGCTAAAAAACTGTTATAATGATCCCCTAAGGACCCATCTACACGTAGATATCAACGTGGTACGATCTAAGTAC